AACGTATGTAATCTATTTTCAGTAATAATACACTGCCTGGCCAAAAAAAAAGGGTCACACACTAATATTTCATTGGACCGCCTTTTGCTTTGATTACGGCACACATTCGCTGTGGCATTGTTTTGATAAGCTTCTGCAATGTCACAAAATGTATTTCCGTCCAGTGTTGCATTAATTTGACCAAGATCTTATTTGATGATGGGAGAGTCAGACCACTGAGCAAAGCCTTCTCCAGCACAAACCAAAGATTCTCAATGGGGCACTGCCCCCACAGGCTTGTACAGTAGGCACTAGGGCACTGTATCTGACCTATCTGCTTAGTTAAATCCAGATGGCAACTTTTTTTTTTTTGGCCAGGCAGTGTATAACACATGGGGGCCTTTCTGACAAACTCATCATTTTTGTTTTGCTACTTTTTTGCTGAAATAATCTTCATACTTTTACTTGTGTGTTTTATTTTATCAAATTTAACAGACTGAACGTTTTTTAAGGGGTAGTATTGCTACTTTGATATACATAGCAGATTTAACAGTATGACACTATAGATGTATATATGTCGTTCTACCCACCAGTCCTGAACAGCGCAGAATGAGTCCTCGCTCGTGATGTCATACATGAGCAGAAATCCCATGGCTCCTCTGTAATAGGCTGTGGTGATGGTCCGGTAGCGCTCCTGTCCCGCTGTGTCCTGTAAACATACACACACACGTCTGACACACTCTAAATTCAGACTTTTCAGGATTCAGTTACTTTGACTCGGAAATTGGGAATTCACAGTAGCCACATGATGAGTGGGTCACAAGGAAACAAACAAAAAAACAATGCTGGCAACTGATCCGACATTAAAGCCCAGCAAACATAGTGAGATCCTTCAGATGAATATTACAGACGTACACTTCCAATCCTTATAGTGCTGAGATAAGGAAAGAAACAGTTAAAAAGGCTGCACTGTATGTTTATGTCTTAATGCCACATGCCATGTCTTGACGCTGCCACACCCAGTAAATACACCAGGATGTGCCTCTGCTATTTCTGAAGCCTTGAGGGGCAGAAATAAGTTAATGTTATTCTTCTGATGAAATCTGCTAAGAATATCAAAGGATAATGATGAGCCAATAAAACTGCATTCATAAACAAACAGGATTAAATGTCCACTGATGAAAAGCAAAGGCAGCAGCAGACATGCAGAGCTCTATATGAACCTCAGATTCAGGCCTTGACAGTAAATCATAGCAGAGATGTTCCCACTGTCTCCAACCTCTGTATTCACTACTTTGGTGCAGGGCTTTCTAAAGAAAAGATGAGTCAAATTAGTTTTAACGCCCCCGTGAAACCCATTCTGCTAAGCAGCCAGTATTTTACTTGGCACCTTCCTCGTGTAAAATTAAGCAACTGTATCATTGTTAAGCTGAGCACAGAAACCACACTATGCTGAATACATTAAGCTAAAAGAAAAGAAACAGTGTATTACATCCCTCTAATAAGAGACCTGTGGGTGAGTCCTCGCCTTCCACTAACATTTAGTAATATATCTGTCCTGGGTGTCAGTCTGCGCAGTAAGCACATTCAGCCCCGGCAACTCCAGCCCATGCATCTTTCATGAACCCTGCCGCCTGGGGACGATGTTAAACATCAACTGTCATTAACTACGGAGTGGGACAAATCAGTTTATGCCACATCCATGACAGGCAGCAGCATGTAAGAGGGCAATCTGGGGAACGGAGGGGGGGAGGGTAAACAGTCTGCGTTGTGCAACAGTGCTTTCAAAAGCACCACAGAACTGTGCCTCCAGTTAAAGCTGCAGTTAAGAAGCTGTCCACCTCAGATAAATGCCTTTAATTATCTCCAGTAGATTAAAGTACATTAAAGAGACTGCAGCATCTTATACACGATCCTGCTGATGTACTGTCTGTCAGAGCTGTTTGCTCTTTACAGTACAAGTATATCTTTTTTAATCTGTCATTAGGGTGGAATAAGACTCAGAGATAATTAGGAGCATTTCAGACCTCAGTGAGTCACAGCTCGTTCTAATATGACACCTTAGACTAACAAGCCAGCGAGACGATTAATCCTGTGAAACTAACTGAGGCAAGGATTTACTCTTCTCAGTCATGAGTCGGTCCACAGATATCCAACACAAACATTGTTGGTGTTGTTTCTCTGATCGTAGTTGAATTGACTGATAATATATGCATCAGTGTGTTTGGTTCATTTCAAGAAAACATGAGAAACTAGAACGACAGTGGAGATCATAGCTCAACCAAGGCCCGACAGTCGATTTACATTTAATCAAGTAGCATGAAGATCCATTCATTATTCTCGGAGAATTTAACTAAAATTGTTGAAAAACACAGCATTTCGCAAAATTGAACAAAGTGAAAATGATTCGGAATGACCTGGTGGCAGACTTATCCTCAAGCAGTAGGTTTGACTCCTATACATTTACTGCGGGTCATTCTCCTGCCGCTAGCAGCTAAAACAAGCTACAGACATCAGGTCTTTGCACACAGCGCTCTAAATGTTAGTGAGGCAGATTAATTCGAATTAAATCAGGTCAAACAGGGACACTGTTTGTTTTTCTTGTTCAGCTTTCAGCTCTCGACTTCTGCACTGATCAAACATCTTTCCTTAAGTCAAGAAGAGTTGCAGTGCGCCCTGATCCTTATCTGCCAGACTTCCACACGTTCTTCCTGCTGTAGACTGTGTGTAAGACGATAAACAGCGTCAAAGCAGGGAGGTGAAGGAAACTGAAGGACTGTTTGAAGATTATTTTCATGATGTTGGAACATCTTTCGAGAATACATAGCCCACAAAAACAAGATTTGCTGCTTTTTTTCTTTTTGCTGAATTAAAACTGCTCCATGAAAAGAAAACAAAGGTTTGCCCCTGAAATATGTGTGACTGGTCCTTGATGCTGCTTCTGCAGGAGGAGGAGTCTAATGTTACTTGCCCGCTCCGATTGGATTACTGACTGATTCCCCTCTAACTATTAATTACTTTAAAAATAATATAAACTAGAATAACTGCACTGTGGTTCTATGCCTCCGCCCACCCGTGCTACATAGTATGTAGCTTTTGTCTTCATATTTCTACATAATATTTTTTTCATATTCATATAAGGTCACTGTGACATTTACCTTTGACCACTGAAATCTAATCACTTCATTTTTTATCGAAGTGACAAACGATCTAAAGTTCCCTCCAGGCAGATCTAGAGATATCACATTCAAGTAAAAATGTTCATATCACGTTCAAGAAAAACATAAGCATACTTTGTGAGGTCACCGTATCCTTGACCTTTGGCTACCAAAATGAAATCCAAGTCAAAGTGAATGTTTGTGCCAAATGTGGAAGAATTCCCTCATGACCTTCCAGAGATATTGCGTACACAAGACAAAAATGTGTACGCAGACGTACGAACAACCTGAAAACATGTGGCCACTGGCTGTGGCCATGCGGAGGCATAAAAACACACTTACACTGATATTCTGACTGTGTCTGAGAGACCCATTATATCATCTTTTATCCTTGTAAGTCATCTACACATGTATATTAACCTTCCTTCAGTGTTTGAATTATATTCAGCATGTAAAGGTTGTTTTTCCTTCTCACCCAGATCTGTAGTTTGACCCTCTTGTCGTTCCTGTAGATGGTTTTGACTTTGAAATCGATGCCCACTGTGCTGACAAAAGCTGAAGTGAAGGAGTCGTCTGCGTAGCGGAACAAGAAGGAGGTCTTTCCCACGCTGCTGTTTCCGATTATCAGCAGCTTGAACATGTAGTCAAAGTTTTGGTCAGCTGCATCTTTTTGCTCTGGGCTTGTCCCTGGATCTCTGGCTGACGCCATCTATCAAACAAAGAAAAGGTCGATTAATACACTCGATCATAAAAAAAAGTATGACTCCAACAGAAACCTGTAACCAGAACTCATCAGTAAAATGCCAAAGACTGTTTGATTCCAGCTTCTCTAGTATTTGGTGATTCTCTGTATTTTATACAATATTAACCTATTTTGGTTTTGCACTGTTAGTCCGATAATTTTCTGATAATTCTGATACACAGACTAAATAATTAGCATGTTCATTGACAATGACAAAACAATTAACACACTGATGATGAATATAATTTTAATTTCAGTTCTCAAAACAACAAACTAGAAATACTGTTCTACAGTTGTATGCCTCTGCCTACACCTTCAGTCCAGGTGACAACTGGTCAAAATTTGAAGAAATGCCCTAAAGGCAGCAATATCGTGCTGAAGAGGCCAAACACTAAGTGAACATTGGTGTGGAATTACAAAGGATTCTCTCGAGGTGTTAATGTGTTAACAACAGTTTTGTGAGGTCACTGTGAACCTTCGAACCTCGAGGTGGATGATCTACAACAGCAGAAAACCACATCAAGGCTCCACAACAAAAACCAGAGGCTGCAGCGGACTCAGGCCATGAAGTGGAGAAATGTATCCTAGTCAGATGAAGCTGGATGTACTTCTGATGGTAGCATGACTCAACAGCATGAATCCATTGACCCAGGCAGCTAGATGTGGTACAGCGTCGAGGGGAATATTTTCTTGACAAAAGTTTGGACCCTTTAATATCAGTCAATCATGGTTTTAATGCTGCAGCCTCTCTGACTGTTGTTTTTTACCAGGCTCAGTTCACCATCTTCTAATGGCTACTTGCATGTTACTGCAATAAATCATGAAGCAGAAGTGGTCTCACACCGATTTCTGGAACAAAATGAGTTCAGTGCACTTCAGTGACCTCCCCAGTCTCCACGTCTGAATCCAACACCTCGGAGATATCGTAGAACTAGAGTCATAGCATGAATGTGCAGCTAAAATTATGTGATGTAATCACAGCGTTCCCCTTAGGCCTACATTGATTTATTTGAGGCAGCCTGCCACAATATCAACATTGACCGCCACATATTGACTTTCTTCTTTTTTTTTACTATTTCAAATGAGTAAAATCTTATTGCAATGTGGAGCTGCAGGCAGCGTGGCGAAAAAAAATGCAATTTACTCTGCTGCTGAGAGCCGTAGTCCATCATGCAAAGGACAAGAGGACTAATCTCACAAAGGATGGGGTTACATCTACAGTGAACCAGTTTATCAAAAAACTATTAGACACGCATGTCGACTATTTGTTTAGCTAATAAATCATCAATGCTAATGAGAACATGCAACTAAAGATGACAAGAGTAAATATATATGAAGTATATACACATACAGTGGGGTTGAAAAGTCTGAGGACAGTTACAACTACTCAGAGAGCATAGGCCCAACGGTGCCCTGATCAAACCACATTTAAATTCTCTAGATATCTAGAAGTTTCGTGGTAATCTGTGCAAACTAACAACCAAACATTAAACGGAAAAAAAACTCCTTGGCGTAGTTAAACGTAAATACTTTGCATATTGACTCCAGTGAGAAAATTAGTCAGTCAAGGTGATGAGCAGTTGCCACGCAGTTACAGCAGATGATAGATGGCTTAACATATTTAACCTACAGATGCCGCTATTCCGCCTCATTGCGATGCTGCCTTATTTTAACCTACTGTCTATGCATGCGGGGATGCAGAATATTTATTTATTTATTTATTTTCGGGGGGACGTAGTCAAGGCGGGGGACCGTTGTTGTCAAGGCGGCCGCCTTAACTATAAAGCGCTGCGGGAAACCCTGGACTCTAAATTGCCCGTGGTGTGAATGGTTGATTGTCTCTGTACTTCAGCCAATGTGATGGACTGGCGACCTGAGGGGGCACCCACGCCTCTGCCCATGATAGATACTGGATGGATGGACAGTATATCCATGGAGTTAGCATTTTATATGAGTGATGAGTACTTACGTTTGATACTGGCCTGATACTAGGATGTCTAAAGTAGAAATGCAAGACTGTACCTGGCTGTTTGAATGTCTGTGCTGTGGTTTACTGGCACATAAAAAAGAATGACAACAGCAGATTTAATAATCATGTTGAGCTCACTGACTGACTTCCCTGGTTTTGTTGTAATTTTCTATCCATGGACAGTTTTGAACAAGCGCAAACAAGCAGAGACTAGTGCAAAACCAAAGAAATGCTGATGCATTCCACACATAAAATGATGTTGCGTCATATAACAGACAGAGAGATTAACTCAAGTTTGTATTCTTTAACTTATCAGGACACGTTTCTGTCCAGTTTTTCTATTTAATCGTTGTACCCATTGTCTAAGTCCCATAGACAAGGATTCTGCTACATACTGACATCATAATTAAACCCACGTTAACTACATACATACATATCACTACTAGGGTGTGAAAACGGCAAAAAGTACCGAAAATAAGTACTTGGTAAACATAACAATAATAACTAAATAGACAACAAACAATCTATTAAAGCGGCACATTATACCTCTGGATGAATATTTGACAGAGTCACTGAGGACATCACAGAGCTCTACAGAGGAAGTCTGCACTTTATGAATTCAACTAAGGATCTTTCCAAGAGAGCAATATCCCTAAAATGATGAAGCCATTCTTTAATCGATGGAGGCTCAGAGGGAGACCCATGAGTGAATTATAGTTTTCTTGGCAGCACTCAAACTTGCAAATAAGATTATCCTGAGGGCTGCTAACCTGGTGTTACCTCTGAGGGAGCGGCCATGGTGCTCCTAATAAGAATTGAGAATTCAACCATTTTTTTCAAGACACTTGTCGACCTGAGTCAAGTGGTTGGATCATTCAATCAAACTATATTTGTATAGCCCATATTTACAAATCGCAATTTGCCTCATGGGGCTTAATTTGTACGAAGTGGGAGATCCTCTGTCCTTAATCCCCGACTACGGTGAGGAAAAACTACAAAACCCAGAAGTGGAGGACCAAGTCTCCACCAAGGCCCAACAGACTCCTGACATTTCATCAAGCTGCGCCAAAAAGGGTACCTCTATAGATGTCAGTTTCCTAAATATGATCTGTGAATTTCAAAAAAGAAATGCAAAGAAATTCTCGGATCCACACCGAAATTTAACAGATTTCTTCCTGACTCATATCAAATCCTTCCACCAGGTTCAGTGGTAATCCACCATGTAGTTTTTACATAATCTTGCTTTCATGAAAACAAACAAATGGACACAGTTGAAAACATAACCTTCTTGGCAGAGGTAAAAAAAAAAAAGCTTTAACATGGGAAAGTAAAGTCGATACCTCAGAGTGAATAACAAGAGAGGGAACCTTCTCCATGGATGGACAGTAGTGCAATAGATGCCGAGTGAATCAGAGCACGTTAACAAAAATACGATATTCAAAACATTCATGAGAAAATACTAACTGAAGAGGTGTATCAATGTTTAAAGTCTTCATGGAAATATTACATGCTTATACCAAGGATCCCATTTTGAAGTGTTTGTGTGTCATGGCATAAATGTATGCAAATACTTAAGGTGAATGAGCTGGTGAACTGGATTTCTTTTTAGAGGAGATAAATATGTCAGTTGGGTGTGGACCAAGTCACGTTCATGGTTCTGTACCTCCAGGCCACAACAACAGGACCCAACCCCCCCACTCCCCAAATCATTATAACTGGAAGCAGCAAAACAGCAGAGGATGTTTGACTGTCAACTTTTCAGTAGACGAGAAGGTAGAGGTGAATTCTAAAGAACTCCATGGGCAGGGAATCCTGATCTCACCAGCAGGTACGGGAATCAAACATGCTTTATGCTTCTGGAATGAAAGCTACGGATTTCCACAGAAGCTCAATCCATCAATGAAAATGGACTTTGTAATGAATTGTAAATATATGGTGGTTAATATTTCTGGAACTCATTTGGAATGAACTGGAGCAAACATCAGTCCAGCAGCTTTTAATGTTAGTCTAAACTATTCTTTTAAATGGTTGTATCCTTCCTCTCTCTCGTCTAAGTGCTTTATGAATCAGACCAGGGTGTGTGTGTGTGTGTGTGTGTGTGTGTGTGTGTGTGTGTGTGTGTGTGCTCCCTCCATCACTCATCCTCTTCTCTCTCTCTCTCTCTCTCTGCACATCTGTCACATGCACTCACGTTGTTAAACTTATGGGATCAGTGGACGCTGAGCAATAGATTTCCCCCCCACCCTCTCTGTACATTTCATCCATCATGCATCTGACCGTTCATTCACTCGCTGACACTCCCACCTAAACACACAGAACACACTCCCACTGACCCATTTATCTTCCTCTTCTCCCTCATATTCATCCATCTATGCATCCCCACCTGTCATCCACCCATATCTCACCCACTCCTCCCTCCTCCACCGCTCTCTCTGCATCATCAGGAGGCTGAGCCATCCATTTATCCCCCCCCTTTCTTCCTTCCTTTTACAGAGAGAGACAGCGCTGGGTGTCTCTGGAGAGCATTACCACTTCCATGATCATTACGAGTGGGGCGCGCTGCTGTACACACTCAGCAAAACACTTATTCACACGCATGCGTCTGCACATTAGATATGAAAACACCCCAAACTAAACGGATGTGTGGATGGATCGACTTTGGCAGAAGAAAACAGATGTTGCATAAAAGATACAGCCCATAATACACACCATGACTACAGAGCAGATGTTGACACCTGGTTTTAAAGTTTTAAAGTACATGAGGGAAATTCAGCTTCAGAAAAACAAGAGTTTGCTCTTCACGAGTCTGTTTACAAACGGACACGTGGGTTGGTGACGTTGTGATAATTGTTCAATCCAGCTGGAAACTGACAGTTTAAGTTTACTCGTATTTGCTCAGTGCACCGCCCACCACACGGTAAACCGCCCTGGCTGATAAGTGTAAAACAAGCGCTCTGCTCCACAGTAAACTTGTGTGTGTCTTCTTACCCTGCCGGTGTCTGTGTCCCTGGTCCTCCCCGCGGTCTGTCCCCTGGACCTCGGAGCCGTTGGCTGTGCGCTGCGCTCGGGACGCTCCTCTTCCCGGATCTTCAGATCGGGCATGTGCCGGTCACTGGGAGATCCACCGTGGAGCCCGTCAATTTACACACCGTGGAGACAGCTCGCTTCCGGCAGGGACTTTCAAAATAAAGTCTTGCAAAATTAAAATTCTTTCACTCTTACTCCATATTGCTTTTCATCCCTCCTCTTCTCAATTTCCTCTTTTTGTGATAACATAATATTACCATCGTATATTACAGTACTGTATTTACATATGTATATACTGTAAAAGTAGTATTTGTTTAATGGTAATGAGCAGGGCTGCAACAAATGATTATTATAATTACAACCACACTCAGTGGAGGACATGCATCACCTGACGAAACCACATTTATATTCACTAGACTATTCACTAGACTCACTGTATGCCTCTGGATTCTTATTTTGCAACAAATTATACACACTCATTAATCACTCCCCTAAACATGTCTGATTTTTTGCATCTAGATCCATTTTTCATTCTCAATGAAAATGTAGAAAAACATTTCTCGCAATGTTGAAGAAAATGAAAAAAGATTCCTGAATCTGCCCCCTGATCCAAATCTGCACCAGAATTTAATGGGCTCTTCCCTGAACCTAAAGTCTGATACTCAGTGTAAGGTATCCCTACGACAAGGCACAACATTTGCCTTGTGAAACTACATTTAAATTCACAAGATCCAGATTTTTATTTGGATCTACACACTCATAAATATCAATTTACTTAACATGCCTGATTCTTTTTTTAAATCAAGATCCATGAATATTCTCAAAAAACAAACAAAGAAAAATATGAAGGAAAGGGGCAGCGTATAGCTCACCTGGTAGAGCTGCCGCCCCAATATGGCAAGGCCTCCACCGGCATCCCGCAGCCGACATGCATACATGTCCACGGGTTGGAATCAAACCCAGGCCATGTATGCATGTCCTCCCCCACTCTCTCTCTATCCCCCTTTACAAGCTTACTCTGTCCTATCCATTAGAGGCGATAAAAAGCCCAAAAAATTTAAATCAAGGATAATGTAGAAAAATGCCTCATATACACATTCTGCATCCTTCTGCCAGGTTTTGTGAAATGTGCCGAGTAAAAGAATGCAGATGGAAACGTTATTTGCTAAATTGGAATTGTATATTGTTTTGTCTGACCAACGACTCATTTGACACAATAACATAAAATGTAGATACTCTAACAATAAATCATCATAATTTTTGAGCATTAACTTTCAGTCGATTGTCTGATTTCACCATTCATCCTCGCACAGGAGGTCGTTCGGTTCAACCCCAGCATGACTAACTGTGCCACAATTCTTTTAAAGTTACAAATAACCACGTCTCTGATCATTTCCACTCTGCGCTGGCTGCTTGACAGTATCCACTAGTAAACCTTAACTGGGCCCGCTGTAATTTGTAATTGGTGCAGGATTTACGCACCATTTACGCACACAATCTCATGACCTCTCAGTTAAATTGATCACTTATGTACCGTGGATAAAATATAGCAGCTGATTTGTTAAGTCTAAAATCCCCATTTAGTACACTTTACCTCAAGGTTCAAACTGCTGAAATATTACACGTCGGAAGTTAGACAAACCAGTTATGGTCTTTATTGACAAGCATCGGTCTGACTGTGAGCATTGCAGTCATGCACCCAGGCACATTTATCATGTCGAGACCAGATCAACTCTACAGGCAGACCACAAAGGCGTGTATTGTTAAACACAGAGAATACCAGTGCGTATTTGTGCTGTGAGGCGTCTCTGTGAATATGAAACTTAGTGAATCATGTTGGAGCAGGAGAAAAACTGCTGCTGTGAGGCAATGATGCAACTGACCTCCCAAAACTGCAGCAGGAAAGAGTTATATATATTTTTTTGGCATATCTGACACAGCAGTATAGCACACCCTGGGTTTTTACAGCCAGTGTGATCTAGAGCTACTGTAAACAAATTGAATTGTGGACTGATTTCAAAAGAAGGATTAAACCTCAACCATCTGACAAGTCTGTGTATATCAAATAATAGATTATTGATTATGTGATGGCTACGTGGGAACAAGATCAATGTAGTCACCAGTGGAAATCTTTAAAAAACAAAAAAACAACTGTTATAACATTCTGTCAATCTGTGACACAATATATACAAATATAAACAAGGATATAAAAACTTAAGAAATGTTCTCAACTAAGGAAACAGGGGATTACATTTCTTTAAAAAAGCCAAACTATATAGTGGAAATTATCCTTGTCTTAGGTCTCTGCCAAGTGGACGGCTTCAACAGCACATGTTTTTGTACACAGTGAAATAAAAGTTATACAAAAATAAACCAGATTCAGCCTGATAAAACTTTCAAAACCAGGCCTCTCTTCTGGCTACGGCTTCAAACTCCTGTTATCTTCTACAGTAACATCTTCATTTGAACAAATCTTCATAAACTTAAAGTAACAACTCTATAACAAGAAAATATTGATTCTGGAGGTATTCTCTCACCAAGCTGACTGCACAGTTTGCACATACAGACCTTCTACAGTGTGATTAAGTACCCATCGTGGGTGACTACTCACTAGTGCTAGCGACAACGTGAGCAGGTTTTTGGTCGACTGAGTGATGGTTTCGAGCTGGATCATTGACCGCCCATAACCTGCGGAACTCTCTGATGAAGGGTCGCACCAGGTCGGGCTCTTCCGTGATGAGGACGTTCTCCATGTTGCTCTGCACTGCTGTCAGCGTCCAGTTGAGGGAGCCAGTGATGAGCAGCCGACCGTCCACCACTGCAAATTTGTGGTGCATGTACACGGAAGCCACGTCACAGCGCACACAAATCCCTGGAGAGCAGAGGGTAGACGGAGTGGAGAGTGAGGAATGAGGGCAAATTCTACAATACCTTGTACATAGAGGTAGTACCTAAATTAGAAAGACCGCAATTAATTAAATTTAAAGATCTGTGTCAAGTGCGACAGATATTAGAGTCACTTCCCCATGATTGAAGAGAAGATGAAGTAACATGGTGGAGACTATATCGTCATGTCATCTCACAAACTACAGACAGAGACAGTAGATATCCTTACTGATCATTTATCACTGAAGTTTTAGAATGATAATACTTGTATCATTAAGACAGAACAACAACATACGTAGACAATACAAACTATGCATCCTGCAAAAACATGGCTCTTTTAAAATCTAATTTCAAGTGTGACGGTTCGACTCACTGCAGCATCACTGCAAGTTTACAACATATAATACTTAAGGTCACACACATGTTTCCATTCTATAAAAACTCCTCTCTTATACAAATCTGTCAAAAATATATCATCAAACTCTAAATCTAAATCAGAAACTTGAAAAATATAAAAAGGAGGCACTTTCAAATATGACAAACCATTTTAATGAGTACTTTTTATATACGACTACAGACTGATCTCAGACAGAGATAAGACGTGCAAGTTCTCTCTTGAAAAGGGCACGTCTGTATAAAAGACGGGATAAACAATCGCCAGAAGGGTGTTTATAAGGGTGTTTATAAGAATATATTTTCCGAGTATTTCTCTTCCAAGGACTATGACCCAACTAGGCCCCTAAGGGCGGTTGTGGAGAGAGTGGGGGGGAGTCGGGGCAGAGAGTGCGGCTGTCCTGGGTGCACCTTGGGCGTAATCTGCCCGACTAGACATACGATTCTGTTGCTTGGTTGAATATTTTAAAGACAACTGGTTTCTTGACTGCAGCAAAAAATAAAAAGTCAGACTCGGACCAGTGTGTTCTACAGAGCAAAGACAAGCCTGCACACTGCTGTGGGGTTCTCTTCTTATACAGCAAACTGCACCAGCAGGGGCCCAGTGGCCTTTTTGGACTGTTGTTGTTGCCACCCCCTCGATAGAGCCCCTGCTGCTCTGAGTTGATTTGGCCATTGGTGTTCAGCTCAATTTTCTGCTGCTTCACGATATCATTGCAGTTTTTTGTAACAAAAAACAGGAAAAGTCCAGATCAGAGCTTTTCTGACATCTCTTTAAAATCAAGAAGTGATGTGACATCATCTCTCCTCCTCTGAGCATGTGTGTGTGCATCATGGATAGAACATGACTTCTGAGTTTGAAGTGAAGTCTTTGATAATGTGAAAGCTCATTATTCTGTCTGTGTTGGCTGAAATAGTGGAAAGTACAAGTTGGGTAAAAAAAAGTGTAAAGAGCAAGAGCAGAGGAAAAATCTTGTGGCCTCCCAAACTTCTTCTCCACTCAGCTCTTCAGTGTGGTGAGGGTCCTGCAGTGAGCTCAACTGGCCAAGCAAGCAACAGTGAGGACCATGCAGCTGCCAGCCTGTGGTCAGTGTGCAGGACAGAAACTGTGATGATGGCAGTGAGGATGAGATAAATGAAAACACAGCTGCAGTTATTAATGGATTTGAAAATGATGATAGTGTTGGTGATGATCGTGATGATCATGATGGCTGGCCAATGAAGAACTGCGGTTGAGAGCACAGGTATCTTCCTTTTCCTCCAATTACTGCCCTGATCAATGTGCCTCGGTCCTGCAGAGCTGTGGGTGGGCAACCGACCTTTATTTCGTTCTAACTTAATACTGAAGAGCATCATCCAGCGGATGCCTTCTTTTTCCAAAGAGCAACCCCTCACATCTGAGCGAAGCAGAGCACTGATGGCGTGTGCCAGCCAGCAATGAAAGACAGCAAGGAGGGATTCTGATATGATGAGGATAAGAGATGCTTCACTTCTGAGACGCGAGTAAGCATAGGCCATGCAATCACTTCAACTGCTTTCATTGCTGGGTGTTTGGTAAGAAAAAGATTTGAGAGACTGATTGACAGCAGCCTGTTTTAGCATGTCAGTGGTTGGTATTTAAGAGGTACAGTGCCCCCTCCTCAAACAAGCTTGAAGCTGCTGGTCCAGTACGATTCTCTGCTACATGAACACATGAGAAACCAGGTGGGGTGTCGCCTACCTGGGCCATCAGTCTCAGAATGAGACAGTCACATCATCACTACAAAAGTTAAAGCAGCGAAGTTTTACCCATTGAGGTCATCTCATCTACTTCTGTCTTTGTACAGTTTAAGATCCAAGAAGAAGGTTGTCTTCACAAGCTACACACAGTTTCAATTATACTTAACAAGTGTAAAGCAAATAAATAAAAGTAAAAAAAACAAAATCACATAATAAAAAAAACCCATCTACAATAACTCAACACTAAAACAACTTCCAGTATTTAATACAGAAAAATTCTCCAGCTCTAAACTCATCATCAGTGTTCTCCCAACCACACTGCTGTTAACACACTGTGTTTTACCATGTTCTACTGTTAACACACTGTGTTTTACCATGTTCTACTGTTAACACACTGTGTTTTACCATGTTTTACT